ACCGAGCTGCTCTACGACCTTCGATCGGATGATGTTGGCCGAACTACCTGGATCAATTAACACGCTTAACTTGAGATTTTTTTATGAGTACAGATATTTCAGTGCATCATTGTGGGGCTGCACTATCCCTTCCGCGTCCTCATCGTTGAAAGACAAGGTTCCTTCTGGTATGTAATCTCGAGTCCGTTTTTCCCTCGTGATGGATACTTTGGTGCGCTTCAACATCGGCCCCTGAGGGACATCGACCCCATCGATGATGATGTTAATGACGTGTTGAGGTTCTTCTTATTCGGTCTGCTTGTTAGGATCCCTATTCCTGAAATAATTCTTGGCTCGATCGCTCAGGAATTCTCGAAGATGCCCGTTGTTGAATAGTCGGGCTACTTCCTCTCTCAACTGTCGGCAATCCTCCGTTCTGTGGCCATGAGTGACGCGATATTTACACATCTGGTTAGGATCTTTTTGGGTTGGATCGGATTGTAGTGGTCGAGGCCATTTGGTGTCTTTGATGCATCCGATGGCAGATACAATAGTGGCGGCATCGGCTTTGAAGTTATACTCTGATAATCTCGGTGCTTCTTTAGGCCCGACGGGCCTGTCGAAGCTGTTTTTGCTCATGAGTCCCCGGTTTCTCTAACCTCGATCACTTCTATTTTCATTTCTCATAGAGCTCCGCCCGGACCCACTGCTTCTTCAGTCTCAAGTGACATCGGCCCAAGTGACAGCCGAATATTCTACCAAGTTTTTTTTGAACTGCTGTGAAGCCAACGAGCTCCCAACTTTGAATCCTTGGGTGAAAGCCTGAACGGCCCAATCATTAGCAACCGGTGGTTGGTCAATCCGTTCCATTTGAAACCGGGACACGAACTTTTTGAGCATCTCATTATCCCTCTACTTTACTTTGTAAAGGTCTGATTTTCTGGTCTCGACCTTAATAGCCCCGGCGTGTGCTTTCACGAAAGAATCTGCAAGCATAACAAATGAATTAATAGAATTAGGAGGTAAGTTGTGGTACCACATCATAGCTCCTTTTGACAGGGTCTCTCCAGACTTCTTCAACAAGACAGACTCGATCTCATCATCCTCTAAGTTGTTCCCTTTGATGGCACATGTGTAGGAGGTTACATGCTCATTTGGATCGGTTGTTCCGTTGTACTTAGAAATCTCGGGCATGGGGAACTTCTTAGGGATTGGCTTTGGAGCCGCGCTCGGAGAAAAAGGTTTTTGCACGAACTTTTTGTAATCCAGGCCTTTCCATATTGGCGGTGCTCCTGGATTTGGTCGACCCTGAAATTGTAGGTTTTCACCTTTTTGTCATTAGTTTCGATTTTCTTCTCCCCTGATTCTACCTGTTTGGTCAGTTCCTTGAGCATCTTTATGATCTCGGGGTTAGTCCCTGATTCATTTTCATTCGACCTCTCTGCGACCGGTTCATCCCTGCGGGTGACTTTCCGTGATGGATCGGGTTCAATTCTGCTCGGTGCGTGGCTTTGGTTCTGTAACTGAGCTATCGCCGCCTATTGAGCCTGCAACATTTCGAAGATCACCCGTAGACTAATCCCGTCTCCTCCAATGTTTTGTGTATTTTGAGCTACCGATCGGGTTCCACCACGGACACTATTCTCGGGGTCAGTAGGCAGGTTTATGTTGATAGCCATATGTGAATTAGAGTCAATTGGATCTGCGACCGGAATTCCGATGGGATCAACGAGCGTTACCTCGTCACCGGGCGCTATGTTATTTTCATCGTGATGACCGGACTCATTGCCAACATGCAGGGGTGCTAATTGAAAGTTTGACTTTTTGAGTTTTAACCTGAAATCAGAGACACTTCAAAGAACAAGTGTAAATTAGTGTGTGTTATGGAGATTTGTATCAAATAACCACTATTATCCTTAGCCCCAAGGTGGACCCCAAACTGTTTACCCTCAAAATCGGATAACAATTGAATTTGTAAGTGATTTTAAGGATACGTGGATTAACTTGACACAAAATGATAAATTAGATTGCAATTAAAATAAATAAATGCAAACTACACAAATTGGATAATTTCAGCCTTGGAAGGTTAGCCACCCTTGAGTCAGACGTACTTCGATCGGTATCAAGACATAGAAGAATAAGAGATTATAGAGAATAATAATGTATTGCTTTGGAATGTGTATTACAATGTGTTTTACAAGTAATCAAACCCTCTTTATATAGTAGGGGAGTCCTGCATTAGTTACAACTCTATAAAAGGTTTAAAAATTTCTTGATTTGCTGATTGTCGGTTCCTTATTCATACGTGCCGAGATTCCCGCCGTAATATCCGACCGGTCACAAATATTTCGGTCTTCTGTTATGCTAACAATGTTTCTTCGAGGTCGTTTGAACCAGAACCGATTCTGGGGTCACGGCCTCGGTGTTATCGAAGGCAGGTGTTTGGTCCCGGTTGCTATCCCGGTGGGGCTTGGGGCCGATCTTCAGTTCTTTATTGCCATGTCTCAAGCTTGGCCTATCATGTCGGACGCTAGGGTATATTACGAGCTCAATTATACATCGTATACAATGTTATCATTATGAACAATCCAATTCTAACTATCAAACAACTATTTAGGGTAATCATCTTGTTTCTTTTCCTATTGTTATGGTTCCTCCCTTTTCCTTCATATCAACTTCTTTTGTTTTGTAGTTTTCAAGCCCAAAACAGAACAGTATTGCATCATTTATACTGGCAAAGCAAAAACAAGGGGCGTGGGTAGGGGCGGGGGGTTAGGGGTGTGTGTTTCGATTGCCGCAAAACAGCATATCAGTAAAAACGTGAACATTGCAAACGGTGCATATCTCTTCGATGCCAAGTCTTCAATCATGTTTTCATTTGCCATTTCCCTCTTATCTTTAAAGAGAGGAGGCCAATAACTTTTTTGAGTTCGTTTAAAGGTAGTATATTGTTTAGCTCACATTGCCGGTCTTAAGTCCAGATAAAGGAGGAAGGTTGCAGTAAGCAGACAGCCAGCATAAAACTATTTAATTTATTGAGGCGTAGTTATTGTTTTTATATAAATGTTACTTTCTCTTCCGGAATGCATCAAAAGTTCGATGGCACGTTTATTTTTCTACTTATATTTCAGTTTTCAAACTCAGTTGCCAATCAATGTTTTCAATTCTCAATTCAGGAAACACTCATAAAGTTATGATAGAATGCAGAAACTGGTGGTTCCATCGTCGTGTGGAAAAGGACTAGGTTAAAAGAAAAAACAGAACCTGAAGAGTCCACAAAATGATGGTTGTCATAAATTGGACAGGTAGTATTTGAAGACACAAGGACAATAGGGGCCACAAAAGGGTAACTTTCATGTAACCAAATGGTAAGAGGAATAGCAGGGGTGGAGAAAGAGATTTGCAACTCCCTCCCCATTTGCGTTAAGTAGGTTGACACTGGTGTCATCGTCGAGTGTAAAGGTATCTATGGAAGGTATAAAAGAAATAATCTTGAAGCAAGGAAATTAGGTGCTTACGAATTACGGAATTATGCATATTTGATTACGATCTGTGTGACACGGTGAAGAGGTTTGTACAAGAAAGTATAGCATATATAAATTGGATTGAAGATGTTGGTGTTTCTATATTTGTGGAGAAATTAGACCAAGAGGGCACTGCTCTCCGCCTGTCGTAACAACAACAAAAGTTCATATCGGAATTTCATTACCTTATTCCTTAAACCCTAGAAAGTAAGGCAGTGATTTGAGGTAATCCATTTGAGGTCAAAGATGGTGATTTTAGGAGGGCTAATCAGTTATTATATATTTGATGCCAATGACAGAGGTGGTTTTGCAGAAGATTAAAAGATACTTGAAGCAACGAAATCAATTGTTTATAAAGTCTTTTAAGTGTTTTGTAGTAGCTTGGAACTTTTCCTTGGAAGTCAATCAAAAGGTGCTCTCTAGCTTCCTTTCTCTCCAACTAGTGAGTCAATGAGATTGAGCAGTTTACAATTCTTGCATAAATAACCAGATTAGTTGGATAAGATTGTCATTCAAGCATTTAAAACCAAACTTCTGTACCAATTTGTCTGCTCCGTAAGCGTTGATTTCCCTCTTTTTGATTGTTTATTCTGCTTCCCTTGATTAGCAGTTGGCATGGGAAAAGGGGGGGAGGGGGGCTAAGCGGACAAAGAAAGCTAACTTATCCTAACTTACTATTTACATCAAGCAAATGAATAGATACCATGTGTCTTTACAGTCACTTCTATCACTTAACTATGTTTAATGAATGTAAAATTTTACCTCAACATATTACTCAACTATAATTGACTAATATGTTTTGGTATAAAGATCTGAGTGTCGATAAGTTTTTTCCTAGACGGTCTGCTAATGATGATATTTTTGTTCTATCTTCAACGTTCTTCCAGGTGCAATGTATTTTATTTTATATGTATCGGTACTTCATTTTGCACTTAGCATAATCTTTTTCTTTTGCAACTGAAGGGCAACCGACAGTCCTTGATTGATCTTAGGATGTAATTTTGTTTTGTTTGTTATATACATTTCTTATTTGTGCTTAGGTTGTTTTCTCTGGATTTCTGCGCAATGGCTTTACCATTTTGAACCAAAACCAATACCTGGTGTGGGATAAAACTCTCCCAATATAAGGCCCTTGCATTATAGATACAGAACCAAGATTCCAATTTCCAACCCTGGCATTTCCTTGTTGTTGTTGTTGCATTTCTTTATCTGTAGAGAATGGAGAAACTTTTATGTAGGCATGTGCAGCTGAGAGTGCCTCCTTTCCTGCGGCGGAGCCGAGGATTCTATCCAAACTTGCTACATAAAACAATTTTGAACTACCTTTGCAACTATACTAAAAGCCTCCCTTAGGTCAAGGATATTCAACGATTTATGTATATGTACAAACAAATATTGTTTTTACCCTATTTGCACAGTATAACTTTCGAACAAATAGCTCTGCCCTTGGTTGTCTCCTTCGGAATATTCAAGAGTTGAAAATTTGAAGATATAATGGAGTCAAGCTACACTTCATAGAAGATAATGAACCAGTAGACATTAGAGTAACAAAATGCATTACATCAACTTGGATATCAAAATAACAAAAAGTTTGAGGTAAACATAACTTCGGCTTTCTATACATATGGGCCTGCTGGCTTTCAGTAGTGAAAATATCATAAACTGTTCAGTCAAGCCACTGGAGTGATATTCCCATTTTCACAAGCTTAGCTCTACCAAAGAATTGATCTCTGGCCAAAAGTCTCACTTGCTTTAGATATGTGCTTAAATTCACTACCCCTTGCTCAACTACTTTATTTAATGAGTATATCAAGTCCTCTGTTGCCCTGTCTGCTACTAGACATTCAAGTAGTGCCTTTGAATTCTCATCAGTGGCTTCAAATGCATCCTCAATTGGATGTTCTGAAAATGAACTTTGATCATTAACTCTTAACCAACTCGATAATTTATCCGCTTCGTCTGTCAAAATCTTCACCCTTTCCTTCAATTCTGACATTTCACTCTTATGCTCATCAACTGAAATTTCTGCAATAATAGCCCTTCTAACCATTTGTTCTCTAAGTGTTGAAAGCTCCTCCACTTGTTCAAGAGTCTTGGACAGCAATTCTGTCATGTCATAATGAAGTGTGCACGAGAGTCGGTCCACAGCCTCCCTTTTAGAAGCTAGAGAAGGGTGAAAGGAATTAGCACTAAGAGCTGAATAGTAAAAAGGATGATTATGTGAGAAGATCTTGATAAGGTTGTGCACAAGGTCTGAGAGGTTGCAGCCAGGGTACTTCCAATTTACTAGGTAAAATGAAGAAATAGAACCTGAAGAGCCCACAAAAGGATGGTTATCATAAATTGGATAGGCAGTATTTAAAGACACAAGGACAATAGGGGCCATAAAAGGGTAACTTTCATGTAACCAAATGGTAAGAGGAATTGCAGGTGTTGAAGAAGAGACTTGCAATTCCCCATTTGCATTAAGTAAGTTTGCGGTGTTGCCATCGTCGTGTGTAAAGGTATCGATGGAAGGTCTAAAAGAAGGATAATTTTGAAGCAAAGAAATGAGGTGCCTACGAATTATGCATATTTGATTAGGATCTGTGTAAGGTGGTGCAAAGGGTGGGCTTGTACAAGAAAGGGCTGCATCTATAAATTGGACTGAAGATGGAGGGGTTTCAAGATTTGTGGAGAATACTTCAGTCAGTGATTTGAGGTAATCCATCTGAAGTGAAAGATGCTGATTTTGGGAGTGGTGATCAGTCAGTATATAAAATGTTCTTGAGTCAATGAAGTCAATTGTTTCTAAAGTTTTTTAAGTGTTATGTAATTGCTTGGAACTTTTCTTTGGATGTGAGTAAAGGTGCTGTTTAGCTTCCACTCTGTCCAACTCGTGGAGTCAACGAGTTGCAAAATCTTACATAAATGCAAATGTTACATAAATAAGCAGATTAGTTGGATAAGATTGTAACTCAAGCATTTATAAAACCAAACTTGTTGACCAAATTGCTTGATCCACAAGTGTTGATCTCCCTCTTTCTCATTGTTTATTCTGCATCTATGGATCGGGAGTTAATTGGCATGGAAAAAAGGGAGGTGTATGGAGGGGAACAATGATATACTAGTAGTTATTTGACTAAATCAGAACAGAAAACAGAAAATAGAAGTTAGAGTGGTTGCATAAAAGAAAGATCTATGCCTTAAAAAAGTGGATAAATGCTGAATTGATTTCTTTCTATCTATCCGGTTAAGTATTGGTGGACGTACTACTATCTCATGTTTGTGCTAGCTGATAAAGACTTTCTTTTGTCCCATTTTATGTGATATATTTGACTGGATCGTGGAGTTTAAAATAAAAAATAAAAAAAGAACTTTTGAAATTTAGTTATAAATTATCTTATTAAGTTAAAATAAAAAATTTAAAGTTAAATTATTTCTAAATATATAAAGATATCATTCTTTGGGATAAATTAAAAAGTAAAATACATCACATAAATTGCAACACAACGAGTCACATGTATAGAGTGAAATAATTGAGTTACAAGCATGTTAATTGGAACACTACCATTATAACAAATAATCTAGGTCTAAAATTAAACAAAGTTGGAAAATCAGCGGCAGCAACCCACTTGCATCTTTCTTGTACGATTGTTTTTCTATTTATCTAATGATTTGGTCACGGTTGGCATTTTTATGGAGAACTAGCTTGCACACATGTTGTGTGCGAGTAAAATCGGGGGTAATGTCTACTCCGATTCCTCGATGAGAGAACGAAGGGGGAGCACGGATCTTCGCATCGAGACCCAGGAAGAAGAAACGGTATATCCGACATCGGACATGGTAAAGCAGCGTGCTCGGGCCGAGTATAAGTTCTAGACCTTGGGAGACACGGCGAACGATTATGCATGACGGATAAAGGGTCATAATACTCGTCCTCAAATGGATATTACGGTGCGAATCTCGCTCGATGTCGATTATGGATCAACAATTATTGGGAAATAAAGATTTGCACATGTTTAAAACTTATTACAGGATTGAAACTCTCCTACTATATAAAGGGGAAGTTTTTCTTTAGTCTCACACATTGTAACACGCAATTCAAAGCAATAAAAGTTTACTTTTGCCTTCTAGCTACTATTAAAAACTTTACTCACATGTTATGTTCTTCATTCACGATTGGGCTCGAACCGAGGGTCCAATCGAGGATGAGGTAACTATTCAATCTAAGATCAATCCTGATCTTAACATTGTGATTGGTTTGATCGTTTATTTCATCTTTAATTCATTTATCTGTTACTCTTAATTAATCGTGTTGAATTAAACCACATATCCTTTAAACCGCGTACAAATTTAGTTGTTATCCAATTTTGTGGTAAACAATTTGGCACTCACCGTGTGGCTAAGGGTAATAGTGGTGATTTGATAAGAATCTCCATAACACATCCTATTTTACGCTTGTTCTTTGAAATCTTAGTTTTAGGTCAGCCTAAAAATGTCAAACTCTCAGCCAACCCACTTAAACCTTGACGTTAAGTCTGGCCATCACGGCAAAAATAATAATTTGGGGCCCAGCAACGATATGCTTCTTGCCGATGCCAACGGTGTCCCAGCTACCGACCCGTTCGATGCTAACTCGTAGGTGGCTATCAACATCAATTTGTCAACTGATCCCGAAAATAGTATTTGCGGGGGACCTCGACTAACAACTCGAGAAGTGCTCGAAGGCGAAGGTGATGGGGTAAGCTTACAGCTGATTTTCGAAATACTACAAGCTCAACAAGCGGCAATGGCACAGTTGCAGAACCAAAGCCACCTCCCCAACAGGATAGAGCCCAAACAATCCCGGGAAAGCGTTCGAAGAGACGAACAAATTACCGAGATAATGAAGATGCTCGAAGCATTGACAAAATAGGTGGAGTCGGGCGAGAAAAAGATCGAGGTTAATGACAAGAAGGTGGAAACATACAACTCCAAGGTCGATCAGATCCCGGGAGCACCCCCAATATTGAAGGGACCGGACTCCAAAAAGTTTATCCAGAAGCCATTTCCTCCGAGCGCGACACCAAAGTCGATCCCAAAGAGGTTTCGTATGCCCGACATCCCCAAATAATGGGACCACGGATCCTGTGATGACCCAAAATGTCATCTTTAAATTTAATAATTAATTCTATATTCTAAGACCTCGAAAAGCACTATTTATCATTACTCGACTTGCGTGTGCAGTCCGTAAAACTTTTTCGGAAAATTTAAGGTGAAAAATGAATTAAAATGTGAATTAGAGCTTTAAAACTCAACTAAGTTGACTTTGGTCAATATTTTGAGCAAACAGACTCGGATCAGTATTTTGACAATTTTGGTAGGTCTGTATCATGATTTGGGACTTAGGTGTAATCCCGAAATTAAATTCCGAGGTCCCTAGCCCGAGATATGGAATTTTTGATGAAAAATTAAAAGTTTAAGTTCAAATAGTGACCGGATGTCAAATTATGTACAAACGATCCCGGAATAGAATTTTGAATATTACAACAGCTCCGTATGGTGATTTTGGACTTAAGAGCGTGATCGAAATTTTATTTGGAAGTCCGTAGTAGAATTAGGCTTGAAATGCCGAAAGTTGAATTTTTGGGAAGTTTGACCGAG